TATACAAGCTAAATGTTTATATTTTGTTATACATACAATCAAATCCGCTCTGCTTGCGTTTCACAAATGAAGCCCACTGAAAGTAACAGATAATTTGGAAACACATTTCCAGGTAACACCTCACAACTTCAGCCAATGTAATATAAACTATCAGTATCATTTATCAAACTCATTATCCTGAATTATTAAATGATCCTTTCGAAGTAAATTCTCCAACAGACCAAATTTAATGTTACATGACAAAGCTGCAGTGAGGTTTTTGGCAGTCTCAGGCGTACGAACACAGCCAATATTGATAAATAGGCTGGGATTTCTCACGCTGAAATGAAGCCAACCCCAAAGGGAGGAGTAGCCAATCGGAAGCCAAAGAATGGAGACGGCTGATAAAAAGAGGAGAGCGAAGAGGTTATCAGAGTAGAATGACCTCCAGGTGGGCCGAATCTTCCATCAGCGCGTGGAACCCTGCCTCTTCTGGCACTGTTGTCCTAAAAGATCGGTGGGTGGCCTAAACTCCAAAATACTCTTTTTATAGAGCGCTTTGGTATCTGTTGATCATCTAATGCAATAAAAGCTCCTTTTGTGGAAAAATATAGAGCTTTTTGTTACTGTGGAAACACCTTGATGGTATCAAATGGTAATATCATGGTACTATTTGACTACCATATTGATGTATTTACATTGCCACCAAGTTGTTATGGATGGTTGCCAGGGTGTTACCCACCATCAACCACTAATAATTACAGTAACACTAGGAAGAAAGAATGTTCCATTTTAATGTCTGCTTCTCAACGACTGGCTAAAAAAAAAATCTGTGCTGAAGAATTCCTGGGTTTGTAGGTTAGGGCTTCTGTGAGAAATGAGTCCCACAGCTCTGATATTTTTAGACTTCTGTAACTGTGGCTGTTGTCATTTTCATGTTGGTGGCCTATGAGTGAGTGATAGCAAACATATACTGTATTTACTAGAGCTCAAGGCAGCAAACCTTCTGGGCCAGCGAACCAGCGACATGTCAGAGAAATCAATAGTTACTTACAGACTACGGAGAATCATGACAAGAAGCGTCCTGTTTTAATGGCAAAACACTGATGTTGCTGTATTTAATCGATCAAAATAACACTGCTTCTGGTTTCAAATGCTAACTTGTGCCGGCGTTCATCTATCTGTAATATTCAAGTTAAAATGAAACACATTCGCAACCCATTTCACTTCTGTAATGTGAGGTATTTACTTTTTTTTTTCTTTTTTAGCATAATGTGTACATAAATTATGGAAGATGTTACCGCTTAAGAATAAAAAATGTATAATTATGACTTTATATCTTTTTTTTCTTATAATTGCGACTTTTCAGTTATTTTCAATTCAAATCTCAAAATGGAGCTTTGCAATTGCAAATTTTTCTTGTAACTGACATTTCTTGCAATTTTTAAACAATTTATCACAATATGACTTTAACAATGGGACTCTCTCACAATTGCAGCTTTGTTTCTCGCAATTATCACTTTACATCTTGCAATGGGAGTTTAAATCTCAAATTGCAAATTTGAAGGCTTTACATCTAGCCATTGTGACTTTATTACATTTATTACCTTGCGTTATTGTTACATTACATCTCACAATGTAACTTTTAATTTCAAAGATGTCATTACACAATTTTTGACTTTATATCTCACAGTAGCATTTTACACCTAACAATGTGACTTTATCTCACAATTGCAGTTTTGTTTCTTGTAAACATGACTTTATATCTCAATTTAATTTTATATCTTACAATGTAAGTTTAAATATCTGAGTGGACTTTATATCTCAATTTAATTTTATATTTTACAATGTAAGTTTAAATCTCTGAGTGGAACTTTTTATTCAAAGTTTGCAGACGTCATTATGCAATTTTATCACAATGTGACTGTTATATTATCTCACAATTTCACTTTTATTTCTTTACTCTGAGGTGTACCAGGCTTCCACAAAATAAGACCAGTAATGTTTATTAAGAAAATTAAATAGCATCAATTTTAATTTCATGTTGACTTCAAACCCAAAAGCCTTTGACTTGAGGTACAATTGCAGGCCATGGCCTGATTTGTACTTCCCCTCACTTTCCCGCTAAAAACAGTAAAACACTAAAGTAATGGCATATCATGAGCTCCGCCACAACCAAATGAAATTTGGGGCCTGTAGCATCACAAGCGTTTTGAGTCAAAATGTGTTGCGGTGGAGAATGTAAAACTGCTTGCACGCCTCATGAATTGTGTCAGAGAGCATCACCCTCCTCACATCAAGTCTCATCACTGCAGCTCTCATCGTGTTCAGAAAGAGCTCGTGTCCAACGGGGATGCTTTGTGAAATCCCAGCCCTAGAGTATATCAAAACAGTCAGAGACTCAGAGCAAGTGTGAGGCCATAGGGAAATAAGCAAACCGTTTTCTGAAAGGATGCAGGTGGCTAGCGAGCCACAACATGGGCTTTAAATTTGTTTCTTAATGCTCACGACCGAGGGTCTGTGACACAGGCCGGCTGACGTTACGTGCCATGTGTATGGGTGTATTTTCATAAATGCTTTCTAAATAGTCCATGTAGGGCAAAAAGTCAAGCTCTTAGAACAGATCTGTGAGGTCTGCTGAAACCTCCGTAGCCATTAGCTGTGTTGTGGGAGGCTGGAGGAAAGTGACATAAATATTACATTTTCACATGTGAGTGCTTGCAACTCATGTCTGTTACTGTAAAATTAGTAATGCAACAACACATGAGCAACTAATTAATCTATGTCAACATATTGTATTGCTTCTGTAGTGCACAGAGCACATTAGTTTTTGATCAAACTGAATATGGTTGTGAATATTTAATGTAAACGCACGATAACAATTAAAACTGCTTGACAGATGTTTAACATGAATAATGCCACAATTCCCATTTAAATACTGCAAAGATTATGCAAAGGATGTAAACATATTTGCTGGTAAACAGCTTTATGTCAAGACATCTGATGCCATCGTACAATTTGAGCAGAAATGGTTTTGGGAAAATTCTGGCAGAATTTGTGATGCAAATGTTTACTAAAGAAAATAATTATTAAAGAAAATTAAATAAAAAAAAACAGTTACAATAACATTTGTTTGCTACAATGTAAGTCAACTGAAAAACGCACGTGTTTGTTGTATTACTGTTGAATGAACCGTCTTCTACACTGTAAAAATATATTTTGAAGTTGTAAATAAAAGCTTGCAGTACATTTTACAAGAAAATTCTATTTCAGTCTTTCCACTTCAAAATATCATGATTCATTCAAAGTTGTACTTGCCATGTCATTGTAATTGATAAAATGTACTAGCAATTTCTGAGTGAAAACTGTTTCTATGCCAATTAATTTTTTTTTTAGTAGTGGGACTACTGTTCTGTATGGTTTAAATTTTAGTTAATTCTTGAATTACATTTGGTTAAATATGTATTAAGCCATTTTCATTGTGAATATGTTGTAAAGTTTATAGGGTTTATTTGCTTTACATATAGTTATTTGCAGTCTTTAGTGTTGACCCGTTTACTTACATTGTAATTGCTTTACAGTAACCAAGATTATCAAAATTACCTTCTGTGGTAATTGACAACATGCCACAAATAGACCTTGTACTGAACCTGTAATATTCTCCAAGTTTCACCACACAGATCTGAGCTTTAGCGGTCTTAAACTACTTGTTCGCTTTAAGACCAAAAGAGAACCTTGGTAAACAGAGCAAACATTCTGGAGAAGGAGGAGGTTTGAATCATCCTAGTAGACCGGTGGGATATCATTAGCCGTGTTTATCTCTGATGCAGAACATAGATAAGGCTGAATAATCCTCTCACATCATTACAGGCAACTGTATAGTGACTGTTACTATTTTAATTGCTGTATCAGTAATCACACACTTTAGAACCAAGGGGCGGGACACAGTTATCTCTTCATATGCCATATTTGGATGCGTTTACATTTTTGGTTACTGCAACTAGTTAATTTACACCCTACAAGGATTGATTCTGATTAATTATGCTGGGTTTTGTATATAGTCTCGTGTGTGGTTTATTGTACATTCCAAATCATTTGTTTTCAGATCTTTTCCACATTCTCAATGTAGCTCGTGTTGTATCTGCCAAAACACATGCTTTTGAGATGATCTGACTGTAATTTCCTAATGTTGTAGCAACAGAAAGCACAAAATGAACTATTTATTGATATGCAGACACAAGCTAGTGGGTAACCCATCACAGCGCCTAGCAGCTTGTATATATGGAACCTAAAGAGTCTATATCTAGAAAGCTGGATCTTAATTCAAATATTCATTTGTATGAGCAAACCTATCCACTTCATTGTAATGTTTTAACATCAAGTCGGTTTGGAGCAACAGCAGGAGGGAAGAGCACAGAGAAGTAGAGAGAAAAATTATAATTTTGTATTATGTTCTAATGTTATTTTAGTTTTATTATTTTAAATAATAAAACTAAAGGCATTTTTTCTCTATATTTATATATATATATATTTAAAAAAAATCAACAAATGTGTAAGATGCCAAAAATTTAAGACAGTTCTATATATATATATTTTTTTTTTTTTCACTTAAACTTTAAATAAACTAGAATATAATATAATATAGAATAGAGTAGAATAGAATAGAATAGAATAGAATGATGTGCTGGTATTGAATGAATCAACCAATCATACCAAAAAAGAACAACAGAACCCTGTTGAAAAGACACTTTGCAGGTGTGAAGAGTCGATGCCTGATCGATTTATTGATTGTGACAAACAGCCTGTTGTGGTTACACTACTGATTGCAAAAACAAAACGTGCTTTTCCATACATAAACAACTGTCATGCTGTGCTGTTTTATGTGGCGTTTGAGGTATTATGCGTTCTCATAAATCAGCTGTCATGTAATCATACGGGGTGGAATGACATGAAACCTTGACGCAGGGACTGATTCCAGCACACGTGATGGGCTACCGTTGGGCACTTGGGCTCAGACTCACCTGGAACAGTCGCAGTATATTTGCGACCATGATGGACACTGAACTCGCCGAAGCCCCTATGACTCCGACCACCTTTTCGGGTTTGACGAACACCGGGGGCTCTCCGTTCGTACACCTCACATCCGACGTGTCTTTCTGTATGAGAGCCTGCACGAAAGTAAGCGACTGCTCCAACGCGTACGTGTCTCGCGAACATGTGTCTAAAACCCGAGCGCCTAAAGTGATGTTGGGCAAAAGCTCGTCGTCACTGTTGATTTGGTCCAATGCATAAAGCATCGCCTCCAACCTGTGTATCCCGTTCTCCTTCTTGATATCTCCACACGGTTCCCCGGAGACCCCGCGGGCATGGACCGGGAAAAGGCCACCCAGAGTCAAATCCCCCTCAATTCTGATGGAATGAGGAGCGTAGATTTCCTGCGAAAGTGTCACATCCACAAGCGCTTGAATTATCCAAAATACCCGCCATGGAAAGCAAGCCATGTCTCCTTGTCGTTGGGAAACAGAAAAAAGGCACTTTTCACAGTATTTATTGGTAAACAAAAACAGAATCGATATCAATAACGGCCATAGAGCCTTTCAAAGTAAGGTTGATGTGGAAATACGTTGGGGTTTTCTCCGAGAACAGAAGGATGCGTTATTTCTTGGGAAAGTGCGCATCGTATGGCGACGCTTGTTGCTTAGATATTCTGCATTATTTCTTTTAATAAAGAAAAAAAGACAGAAAAACAAATTAAAATACGTACAGTACCTTTCTATGATTTGTCCTTAAATCAAACACACGCAAACCGCATTAAAGTGCAACGATATTCGACTAAAACGCGTCCGATCCACGCTGATGGCATAACACCACTGTAAAACCATCGCGACTGAGTTTTAACGGATTTTATTTTAAAAAAATTTAAGGCGGCAAAAAAAAGTTTTCGTTCAGAATGCCGCGTCGCGTTTAACGGTCAGAGAAAAATGTTGCAGAGAATCGACGTCAGGTGAGATATCCGTAACATCCTCCCATTTTTTCGCTCGGAGCAGGTGCTGCTTATTACATCTGAGAGAAAGCAAGCAAGCTTAGGCGGTGGTACGTCTTTTGGTCTTGCGAAAATCCCCACAAGAGACAAGAAGACAGCCCGCCTGTCTCCTCCTCTCTCTTTCTCTCTCCCTTTCTCTTTCTCTCTCCACCCAGAATCAAATATGGATTTGTCAAATGACTCAACGCACGATCGATGTCATGTTACTCATCCTGGTCAGCCCTCAAAGAAAATACGCTCCTGCACGTGAGGAAAATCATTAGGCGATATAGTCATTAAACCCAAAAATTAATTGTGAGGAAGGAGGGATGTTGCAATGGAGGTCTCACTAAGTTTCCAGCATCGGTTCCAAAGCTTACGGTAGTTGAATGCGGGTTTAACGTTAATATTTTCACCACATCATTCTCTGCAATAGAGAAAGAAAGGCTTCTCAAACGTTTAACTATATTTGGATTAACTCCTCATTCACCTATATATATATATATATATATTGAGCTAATGATTTGAATGCAAGTTATGGTCTATTCCCAAATTTTTGTTTGTTTGTTTGTTTTTTTTTTGTTTACATGTTATTATTACCCTGTTTTTGTGGGGGCTGTTGGCTGGTCCCCAAAATGTAGGTGTTTTTACTATCCTTTTGGTGGCATTTGGTAAAGATATATCATACATTACTGAAATTGTAGTCATTTATTGTTATAAATTACAAATTAGATGCTAAAAAAACAGTAATTATAATCTAAGGAGAATCACCATTGATAAGGAAATTAAATAAATAAAACTACTGACTAACCCAAAACCTAAAATAGAGAGAGAGGGGGAAAAAAAAACATTTATGAACCATTTAAAACATTTTTATGGAAGTCACTTTGCGCCACAGAATAAGGAAAAAATAAGGAAATTATTTATCTAATATTTTATCTAACTTTTTTCCTTGCAATTCTGAGAAAAAGTTAAATTGTGAGCTAAAGTCTGAATGGTGAAATATAAACTCTAATTACTGCCAAACTGCCAATTCTAAGAGAAAAAAAGATTTACAAGATGTTAACTCGCAATTCTCAGAAGAACAATCAGAATTGTGAGATCAAAAGTCAGTTTTATTCTGTGGTGGAAAATCTCTTTCATAAGAATGTGTTAAAGGGGTCATATGATGCTTTTTTAAAGATCATTATTTTGTGTATTTGGTGTAACAGAATATGTTGACATGCTTTAATGTTCAAAAAACACATTATTTTTCAAATACTGTACATTATTGTAGGACCTCTATGCCCCGCCTCTCTCAAACGCTTCGTTTTCTACAAAGTCCCTCCTTCCGACAAGCGCAGTCTGCTCTGATTGGCCAGCTGACCCAGTGCATTGTGATTGGCCGAACACTGCAAGCACTCGTCGGAAATGTAACGCCCCTTACCATAATCGCGAGCTTCATCTTTCAAAATGAATGTAAAGACAGAGCCCGAAAGGGGAACAGATGTGAAACCACGCCTTCTTTATTTGCGTGCACATTTGGGCGCATTATGCAAATATTTCCACATAGTGACCTAGATTTACACGTGTAGGGGCGTGTTAGAACGAGCCATTTTGGGGGGGGGGGGTGGCAGAGTCTTAACTTTGATAAAGAATATCTCTTTGGTTTTGAGACTTTAGTCTTTGCAACTTCAGGGATCTTATCTATGCACAATCAGCTTGTAACACTCTAAAGAGAAAGGAAAACTTGAAATCGCATCATATGACCCCTTTAAATGATTAATGAATAAAGCAAATAATGTATCTCTCTCTCTCTCTCTCTCTCTCTCTCTCTCAGGTTTTAGGTTAGTCTGTAGTATTTTTGTTTTGATTTTCTTAAAAAAATAGCAAGATGTGAATTCAGAGAAATAGCAACTCAGAATTCAGAGAAAAATGTCAGGATTGTGAGATATAAACTCAGAATTGCAAGAAAGAAAGTCAGATTTCTGCCACAGAAATATTTAAAAGAAGGAAAGAAAGAAAAAAACGATCTTATGCCCCATTGACAGTTAGGTTTAGGGGTGGTGTTAGTGGTGGACCTTCATGCTTATATATATATATATATATACGAATCATTCAATCAATCAAATTCATATGAAATTTCCACCTAGTTAAGTAGTTACATTTTCTCATGAGATCAGGTTAAATCATTTTGCCATTGACGACGTCCCCAAAGAATGGTTTTGTCAGATTTAGCACACTTCTGGGGACGGCGTGTCCTCAGAAGATAATTTGACAAGCTGTAGTCCACACTGACTTCATTTTGTAGACCTGTGAATGTGTGGTAGAGACTGAGGCGAAAAGTTTACTTCCAAAATGGACAGACGTGAAGAAATATGACTTGTGCGGATTATTTATGAGATTCAGTAGTGTTATTGATCAATAGCGTCTCGCCAGTCAAAGACATGAGACAGTGTTCAGATTCATTTTGATTTGTTTGTGGTGAAGCAGTCAAGTGCACTTCCGTAAGGGACATACTACATTCACCCATGTTAACGTTACATTGCCTATCTGTCTGCTAATCTATTGGCATACGTCTACAAAGTTATGAATATTGTAATGAACTTGTAGAATAATATTTAAGAAACATTGCCTGAAACCAAGTGTCTTGAAAATAAAAGATAACACAACTTTAAGTAAAACACTGCAGTACATTGATTATGTGACATTTATTAGACTCAATGAGCTGCAGAAATATCATGAACTTGTTATTTTTTAAACCTTCCTTTTGTGTCCTTGTCATTTTAATAACCATACAGTCTTTCAGACAGCTGTATTAATTATTCAGCACTTCAGTTTTCAACACTTATATAAGTGTTGATATGATCAGACAGCTATAGATATGATGCTTTTCAAATAAGCACAGCCAACAATATTAATAGTGTACAATATTAGGTTTATTATAAAGTTAGATTAAGAAACAAGTAAGAGCAGAGGACAAATGTAGAGGGGAAAAAGAGAGAAAGAACAGGATTATTTTTATTTATTCTTTTTTTTGTCTAACTTTGTTCAAATGTTATATATTCACTAAACTGTAAAACGTTCAGTTGATTTCTTACATTTTTAAACAAACTATAATCAATTTGGTCAATTGTGGACATATAAGTCAATTTCAACTTAAATTACATTACATTAAACTGCCTTTAAAAATAGAGTTGAACCTTATATTATGTAATGCTTGTATCATTTTTTGCAGTTTGTGTCATAACATTGTTGAACGTGTCAAAAACAACACAGACTACTGAAAGACTACAGTCAGTCCAGTTGTTAAAACAGTGTTTAGTACTGTAAAGTAGTACAAGAGCTATTGGCAGGAAAGACACAGAAGTTTAAGAACAAAAGCTTATGGTAATTTTAATGTAAAATTTAAATTGAATGTAAAAATAACATTTTAAATTAAATATTAAAAAACATAAACATACAAAATAAATATATATAAAAAAAAATATTTTACAATTACATATTATAGTGTAAACATAAATTGAAAAGAGCGATGTCAAATCCATCAAATACAGAGATCAATACAAAGTTCAATGACCCATACTCTTTTACTGTAAAAAGCTAGTTGCTATGTACGATTTATGCACTGTAAGAATGATTTTTCAAATTTCACATTTAATTCAATGTTACTTGCCATTTCTTTGTATTTGTGAAATTTGTTAGCAATTTCGGTAACACTTTCTATGAAGCCCATATTTATAACACATTATAAGGGTATTCTTAAGGCATTATAATGAATGCATAATGCATTATAAAAGACCTTATAAAATGTTATATCAACTTCAAATCATAACAACAATTATAATACATTATAATGCTTACACATTTGTGGTTATAAGTTTTAAGATTATGATTATTTATAACACACAATGAACACCATATAAAATCTATTTTTACATTTATAATGGACTATCTCGACATTGTTTATTTAAGATCTGCACAGTATCTTACTACATCTTGTAAGTGGTTAGGTGTGGAGTGTTATTTGAGTGTTCCCTGTGAGGCTAATATTTAATTTTGATGTGAGCTAGTTAATAATTTCAACTGAAAAAAAAATGCAATGTTTATATGTTAGGTTACATTTTATTTTGATGGTCCCCCTAGTCTATTGACTATAAGCAACTTTGCAACTACATGTCAGCTAAATCTCATTAGAGTATTAGTAGGCTTAGGTTAAGGTTAGGGTTGGTAGAATGTTGACGTAGTTGCAAAGTTACTTATAGTCAGTGTGTCTGTTGGGGAACCATCAACATAATCAAACTGATATTACATTAAAAATAGTTTAAAGCAAATATGTCTTATTACGCATTCATCTGATCTGATATCTGATCGTATGGCTGTTTGAGAAAAAAATATTATTATTATTATTATTATTATTACTATACTTATAAGTGGTCTTTGATGGCTTTAAGTAAAGTAGCATAAGAAAGATGGCAAGATATGAGACTTATAATGCATTATAACTATGAGAAATATAATCCATTGTAATTTAAGTGGATGCAACATGTTCACTGTGTGTTATAAATCATCATACTCTTAAAAGCTATAACCACAAATAAGTAAATATTATAAAACATTAAAACTGTTCTTATGAATATTCATAAGATGATATAACATATTATAAGGGTTTTTATAATGCATTATGCATTCATTATAATGCCTTAATAATACCATTATAATGTATTATAAATATGGGCTTCATAGAAAGTGTTACCGCAATTTCTAAGTGAAAACTGTTTCAAAGTAAATTCTACACAAATACACACACACACACATATATATAGAGCATCATTTATGTTTGTAGTTCAAATTAGTTAATACTCGTGTATATTCCAAATACATTTTTCTGTCATCATTTACTGTCATCATCATCATTTACTCACCCCAGTTGATCCAAACTTTCTTTCATCTGCGGAACACAACAGAACATATTTTGAAGAATGTTGGTATCCAAACAGTCGACAGCCATTGACTTCCATAGCATCGAAAAAACACTATAGAAGTCAATGGCTACCGGCAACTGTTTGGTTACTAACATTCTTCAAAATATCTTCTTCTGTGTTCAGCAGATGAAAGAAATTCATACTGGCTTGGAACAACATGAGGG